CTAATGCTCTCCTCCTCTCCCCACTTCCCTTCTGAGCAACAGGGACAGACTCTGTGCCAGAGACCTGTACCCCATGGCTAACCCCTGGTAAGTCGCCCCCCCCCCCCCAATAGTATCCAAAACGGTGTACTTGTTTTTGAGGGGAACGGCCACAGGGGATCCCTGCACTGTCTGCCTGTTCCCTTTCCGTCCCCTGACTGTAACACATCTACTTTTTTCCTGTACGTGAGGTGTGACTACCTCCCTGTAACTCCTCTCAATTACCCCCTCAGCCTCCCGAATGATGCGAAGTTCATCCAGCTCCAGCTCCAGTTCCCTAACATGGTTTCCGAGGAGCTGGAGTTGGGTGCACTTCCCGCAGATGAAGTCAGTCGGGACACTAGTGGTGACCCTTACCTCCCACATTCTACAGGAGGAGCATACAACTGCCCTAACATCCATTCCCACTGTTCTGAATTCCCAAACAGACAAATAAAAAAAACCTAGTAGCCTTACCAAATCAGCGCTCAGAACCTTTTTTTTTGGTTAGAGGAGGAGGATGGGTGGGAGACACTACCTAGGTAGTGTTTTGGGTAAAGCAACTGCCCAAGTATATTACCTCACTTACTCCAAAAATGGAGTCACGCGAGTTAAGACTTTTATAATCGAAAAGCTTACCTTCCCAGGCTGCCCTCGCGCTTCCTCCCGGACTCCCGCTGCTGAAACAACTGAAAGGTGGGGAGTTCCTGGACCAAGGGGGAGAAAATGAAGTCGAGATAGCTGGAGATAAGTTCGGTGGGGCAGAAGCAGGCAAAGACAATGGGTCGACCAGGGCAGTCAGGTTTGTGGATTTTGGGAAGGAGATAGAAACGGGCGGTGCGGGGTTGGGGAACGATGAGGTTGGAGGCTGTGGGTGGGAGATCACCTGAAGTGATGATGTTGTGGATGGTTTGGGAGATGATGTTTTGGTAGTCGGGGGTGGGGTCATGATCAAGGAGGCGGTAGGAGGAGGTGTTGGAGAGTTGGCCCCTGGCCTCGGCGATGTAGAGGTCAGTGCGCCATACTCCAACTCCCTTGTCTGCGGGTTTTATGGTGAGGTTGGGATTGGAGCGGAGGGCTGCATGTTCTGTGGGGGAGAGGTTGGAGTGGGTGAGGGGGTGGAGAGGTTGAGGCGATTGATGTCTCAGCGGCAGTTGGCGATGAAGAGGTCGAGGGAGGGTAGGAGGCCTTGGGGTGGTGTCCAGGAGGAGGGGGTGTGTTGGAGGCAGGAGAAGGGGTCAGTAGAGGAAGGGTTAGACCCACAATTAAAGAAGTAAGCGCGGAGGCGGAGGCGGCGGAAAAACTGTTCAACGTCCAAGCGTGAGCGTATTCATTGATGTTTGGGTGGAGGGGGACAAAGGTGAGTCCTTTACTGAGGACTGACCGTTCGCCCTCAGTGAGGGGGAGGTCTGGGGGGATGGTGAAGACCCAGTGAAGATCCAGCCCTGCTAGGAATCTTACCGTCCCTTACCGCCTGTCAATGGAGGGTGTTGGAAGGATTTACAAGTTACGAACATACGTATGAGTATTATGAACATACCTACCTCGATCATCAAGTCTCAGGGCCTTAAAGGCACGGACATGACCCACTGCACTATAGGACCACCTTCACATGTCAAGTACACTATCCTATTTAAATAGCAGGGGTCATGAGGGCCTCTCAGACATAAACTGTGCTTATAACAAATAGATAGCTCCTTCACGAATGTTGTTACCACTCATTATACAGGCAGAAATATCACTCCTGCTGCCCAGCTGCCAACTCAGTATTGCAAAGATGAGCAGATCAAGGGAACCGCTCCAGATGTGAATTTACTGAGTTCTGATGAAGGGTCATCGGACCCGAAACGTTAACTCTGTGTTTTCCTTCACGAATGCTGCCAGATCTGCTGAGCTTTTTCAGCAGCTTTGTTTTTGTTACAAGTTTACTGCTTTGTTAGTCACTTCAATTTCTGTGCATTTAAAGATATTTCATTCTTCTATGGAAATCATTTCCAGTTACTGAAAAAGAAAATGACTCCTCAAACTATTTCCACAAAGCTGCAGACTGTGCTCTGCTGCATTGTTCAAATCCAGAACTTTACATGCAGGTGCCCAGGTCCTCAGCTAAGGATTTTGCCAGATTTGCTTTGCTGTAAATAGAGGAGCCACTTTAAAAAAATTAATATGTAATTATTGAAAAAAACTTTCTTTATCCTTTGATGAGATGCAGGAATTGCTGGCATTGTTGCCCACTCCCAGACACCCTTAAACTAACTGGCATTGCCATGCTATTTCCGAGGGCAGTTAAGAGGTAACCACAGTGCTGAGGGTCCGGAGACACATGTAATCCAGATTGATTAAAAATAGCAGATTTTCTTCCCTAAAAGGTATTTGTAAACAACATGTCTCTTTTCATCAATGATAGTTGCATGGTCACCACTACTGAGACCAGCGTTTGATTCCAGATTTACTGATTGAATTTAAATTCCACCAGCTGGTGTGCTGGGATTTGAATACATGCCCCTGGAGCGTTAGCTTAATGTCTTAGTGACGTTATCATAACCACCACCATTTCCCCTGTTTTAAGTGGCAAAGGTCATTATGCACCATTGGGCTGGGACAGGAAGGGATCAAGATTGTCAGCCATGAGTCAAGAGTAGGAAAGTGGAGATGAGGGATTATCAGATCAACCACGATCTCATTCAATGCTAGAACAGACTCATGGGCTGAATGGCCTACTTCTGCTGCTACATCCTATAGTCTTATAAATGTCTGTAGATGGTGGAACGATGGCAAAGCTGTTCTGGAAAATGAGAATGACCCAGATTAATCTCTGGAAAGGAATAGCTCGGGCTTGGGGCGCAATATTTGCAGTTTTTGCTCATAGGTTGCTGTTTCTCAGGCTTGGTTTGAGGTTTACAGGAGCTGGTTTAGTTATTTGGTTCTTGATTTGGTATGCCCTGTTGGTGGGAGCTGGAAGGAATTGAGAGGCTGGTGCTAATATGCAGCATCCCAGTAACATTTCAATCCGAGCCCAAGATTTAGGCCACTCCTAGTTAATCTTCACAATATTTTCATGAACTGGAAACTAAAACTAAAACTAAGCAAATTGGCTCAGAAAGAGGATCATGGCATGTGAGCACTGAATAGTGAGCCCAGGAATTATTGCCTATCCCCATTGCCCTGGAGAGGATGGTGGTGAGCAGGCTTTGTGAACTGCTACAGTCCATTAGGGCTAGGGACATCCAACGTGCTGCTAGGGAGGGAGTTCCAGGATTTTGATCCAGATGACAGTGAAGGAATGGTGATATATTTCCAAGTCAGGATGGTGTATGACTTGGAGGGGAACTTTCAGAGAGTGGTGTTCCCTTGCATCTGCTGCCCTTGTCCATTTCGGTCACAGAAAGAGAAGCATGAGTAGATGAGTGGTGCTCAATCGTTCTACACTGATGGGCCACACAGACCAAAACCAGCACAATGATAGATTTTGGAAAATTTCATATAATTATAAAAGTATGTGTGTGTGTGTGTGTGTGTGTCTTTCTGTTTGTAGCTCTCTCCCAGGGTTTGCTCACACTGTCTCACACCATCAGGAAGGAAGGTGTTGGGTTGGGATGCAGGGCCCAGGCACAGAGAAGGAAAAGTCATAGATGTCATGGAGGGGAGAGCAAGGTTGGATGGGGAAATGGGGCCTAAGAGTGGGTGAATGATGTGGGGGCAAGACGGAAAGGGCTGAGTGAAGTGGGTGAAGAAGCATTGGTTATGATGGGGCTACACTGAGAGGCTGTGTAGGAAACTGGAGCTAGGGAGTGGGTAAAGGAAGCAGCCATCAGGATTGAAAGAGGGAATGTCAGAGCGGGATGGGGTGGGGTGGGGTGGAACTGTGGGTTAGGTAAAGGAACCATCAGCCGTGATGGGACACATTTCAGAGGGATAGAGGTCAAAAATCAGCTGGGAGCAGCTCAGGGTTGTACTGTACATGCCATTTGAGGTTAGGAAGGGCTCTCTAGGGTAGAGATGAGGCACTTAGCATATTAATTTACCAACATACCTTTTCTGAATCCTTACGTGAAGCAAGAAACAAAGGTGGGCCTGCAGAATCTGGCGGGTCCAATGGTGACAGTTGTTCAAAACAACGACATCATTGGCCTTTTATGGTGTGTGTGTTGGTCATCTGATATGAACCTGACCATCTGTGCTTCTCTATGAACAGTTAACCTTTAAGGAAGTTAACATGCTTTTGTGCAAAATAGCTGGATTGGGATCATTAATCTTGCTTGCAATGAATAGCGCAATCTTCAAAGTTTTAATGTAAAACATTTTAAAAAGGCAAAAGCTTTACAACCGTCTTTTCTCATGTTTCGGCCTGAACGTTGACTTTCCTGCTCCTCAGATGCTGTCTGACCTGCTGCGCTTTTCCAGCCTCACACCTATAGACTATGTAGTTATTAGTTGTGGGAACTCTATGAGGAGCTGTAATTAATCTACCAGGAAAGCCAACGTCATATCAAGTGTTCTGGTGAACCATATGTGACCTTCAGTCCACAGGTTGGCTTCCCTATTCTTGCTTGGAAGGGTCACAGGTTTGAAAAGTGCCATTTAAGGAGCTTTGGTGAGTTACTGCTTTGCATCTTGTGGATGGTACACACTACTGCCCCTGTGCCTTGGTAGTGGAGAAATTGATAGCGAAAATGATGGATGGGCTGGGGTCAGGTATACAATTACGCATGCCCTGCTTTTCCGTGGATGTTATTGAGGTTCTTCAGTCATGTTGGCAGATAGGCATGCAAAGGAAATAGGAGATAGATTACTCACTGCAGAATTCCCAGTCTCTGACCTGTTCTTGTAATCACAGTCTGTATATTGCTTGTCCAGTTCAGCCTTTGGTCAGTGGAACTAGTATATCCAAAATGTTGATACTGCTCAATATGGTCTGCTAATAATTCCCAATAATAAATCTAAGTGGTATTGAGATGTAAAATTCTGTTGCCTTTCTTCAGTTGGACTACAGATTTTCCTCACAAGATCAGAGTTCCCATACAGGACATGCACAGTCCAGCCCAAAAAGAGACAAGGTCAGTACTTTATCATTGAGACATACCTGGTGGAAACATTGGGAATCATCGAATCACAGCGCACAAGGAGGCCATTCAGCCTGTTGTGCCCTTTACTCTTTGTTCTTGTTATTTACAAAGACAACTAGCTAGTTCTCAGTCTTGACTTCTCCCTGTAACGCTGCAACTTTTTATTCTCTTAAGGTAATTATCCAGTTCCCTTTCGAAAGCCACATTGGAACCTGCCTTTCCCTACATTCTTAGGCAGTGCCCTCCAAATGATAACCATTTGCTGCATAAAAGTATTTTTCTTCATGTTGCTATTGCATCTTTTGCCAATCAAATGTGGTTCTTAATTCTGGCAACAATGAGAACAGTTTCTCCCTGTCTATTTTGATCAAGTCTTCATAGTTTTGAACATCACCATCAAATCTTCTCACAATCTTCATTTTTCCAAAGAAAACAGTTGCAGCTTCTCCAATCTTTCTCCATAGCTGGTGTCCCTCATCCCTGGAACCATTCTCATATATCTTTTTTCCACGATCCTTCCTAAGCTGTGCTGCCTGGAAATGGTTATAAACTCTAGTTGAGGCCAAATCAGTATTTTATAAACGTTCATCATTTCCTTGGCTATTGTACTGTATGCTTCTATGGCATCTAAATCTCAAGATCCTATATGCCTCTGTAACTACTTTCTCAACCTGCCCTGCCACCTTCAGTAATTGCATACACATATAGCTAGGTCATATTGAGGGCTCTTTCAGTGCAGTGGTATTGTCCCTACCTTTGAGCCAGACAGCCCAGCTTTCAAATCCCACATGCTAATGTGCGTTATAACATCTCTTAACATGTCAATTAAAAATACATCATCACAGGAAGTGATGTAATGTCACATGATTTTTAATGAGCAGTTGTAATGCCGTGTTCCTACCTCTGGGCTAGAAGGTCTGAGTTCAATATCCACTTGCCCCAGATGTGTGTCATAAATTGTCCAAACAGGTTGATTCAAAATATCTACCCCACGTTTCTCTGCTTCTTCACCTTCTTAAGAAATTCTTTCCTTTGGTTTATGTTCTATCTCCTCCTCCCCCCCCCCCCCCCCCCCCGACAAATACGTCACTCCCACCTTATCAGCATTAAATGTAATCTGCAACATTGCATCAATTAGTCAATGCTACCTTGAAGTGTAACACAGTGTCTCCTCATGGTTCATAGTATTTCCAGATATCCAGGGCATAAACACTGAACAAGTAAAGCCGTGGTCCTATTTCCAGGCATCTCGACAGGGAGAGCCTCATCCTGTACCTTCACAGGGTAATTTATCACCGCAATTGGCTGTTTTCTGTTTTCACACGCAACTCTATTTATGCTGCCACCTTCTTTTTTATTGCATGGATTTCAATGTTACTAACAGGTCTGTGTGTGTCACATTAACAAGCCTATTACCCTCATCAAGCCTATCTGTAACTTTACCAAAAAAAACTTAAGTCAGTTAATCGTGTTGTCTTTACTAAATTCATGTTGGCTTTCCCTAATTGATTTACACTTGTCCAGGTAACTGTTAATGCCGTCTGTGATTACAGCTTCTAAAATCTTTCTCACTGACGGGTTAAACTAACTGTTCTGTACTTGCTGGGCTTATCCTCATACTCTGTTGGAGCAAAAACATTTGTAATTCTCTAGTCTTTTGGCACCACTTCCGTATCTAAGGATGAATTGGAAGGTTGTGTCCAGTGCGCCTGTTATTTTCACTTTTATTTCCCTCAATGACCTAATACATTCCATCTGGCCCTGGTACGTAATTGGATTTAAGTACAGCCAGTGTTTCTAATAATTCTGTTTATCAAATTTTAGCTCATTCAATGTCTCAACTGCCTTCTTTTTCACTATGACTTTGGTGATGTCTTCTTCCTTGGTGAAGATAGATGCAAAATACTCATTTTATACTCAACCTATACCATCCATCTACAGGAGTTGGATGTCTTTTTGGTCCCTAATCAGCCATACCCTTTCTCGTACTATTTACCCAGAGGCAGAACAGTTCCAGCAATATGAGTACTACAAAAGCAGGAGGAGGACTGTGGTGCAGTGGTAGTAACCCTACCTCTGGGCCAGAAAGCCTAGGTTCCAGTCCTATCTGTGCTGGAGATGTGTCATTACATGCCTGAATAACTTGATTAAAAATAACTACTACAAGAGCAAGGGAGAGGCTGGAAATTCTGAGGTGAGTAACTCACATTTTGGACCCCCCCGACCAGCAACAAACCTGTCCACTGTCTAAGAGGCACAAGTCAGTAGTGTGATAGAATGCTGTTGATTTGTCTAAGATGAGTGTGGCTTTAACAGCATGCAACATGACTCTGGAACAGAGCTGCCTAATTGGTACCTTGTCCACCAATGTAAACACTCCTTCCTTCTGCCACAATCACATTAATGAGTCAGTGTGCACTGTTTACAAGATGCACTGAACAACTCATCAAAATTTCTTTGGCAGTGCCCCCTGTCCCAAACCCATCATTTCCATCATCTGGAAAGACAAGGCCAGCATGGGGAATAACCTCCCCACCACCACCACCGCCCCCCACCGCACCTCCACCCATTCCCCTCTTCATTGTCGCTGGATCAAACTTTTCTGGTCTCAACCTAACAGCATTGAGCTGTACTTATGCATGAGAAACTAAACTTCACTACCTCAAAGACAACTAGGGATGGGTAATAAACTAATTACCCCCATTATCTTCACAATGAATACAACAAAATACTTTGAGAAGCAGGCTGTTCATTATTCATTTGTATTTAGCTTCAGTTGCAGAAATATTTGAAAATCTTATACTATGATTGAATATAATGAGAACTAAACTTGCCTCCATCTGTCATTCAGGTAGATATAACTTTCTGTCCGCTTGAAGAACAGAACTCTTACACTGGATATGTCAGTGCTTTTTCCAGAACTGATAGGGTCAGTATTTTCACTTTATTTCCTATTTTAAATGAGCCTTCACTTTTAAGAAATAAAAGACTTGCATTTATATAGTGCCTTTAACATCCCTCAGCACATTTTAAAGCACCTTATGCCCGGTGAAATATGCTTGAAGCATAACAACTATTGTGGTAAATGTGATGGCAGACTCCCATAAACAGCAAGATGATATGGGCTTTTGGATGTCAATTGAGGGAGAAATATTGACCAAGGCATTGTAGTGTCCACATGAGATGGCAGGCACTGAGGCCACTTCTGCCCTCCCAGGTGAACATCTCATTCAAAAGACAGCCCCCGTGACAGTAGGAAAGAAATGACAGAGTGGGAATGTCATTAGGCGGGTTATTGTTCTGGGCTAATGGGTTCAAATCCTACCATGGTAGCTGGTAGAATTTGAATTCAAGAAAAAAAACTATGGAACTTAAAAAAAAGGTAATTGATCATGTAACAATTGTCATTAAAAACCCATCTGGTTTACCAGTGATGTCTAGGGATGGTAATCTGCCATCCCATTTCTGGCTCCAGATCCACAGCAATGTTGTTGACAGTTAACTGCTCTGAGGACGATTACAGATGGGCAGAAAACATCCATGAAAGTGTTTTTAAAATGTCCAGTGCTGTGCTGCCAAAGTGTCAACGGGTATATCGTGCTCAAGTCTCTGGAATGGAACAGTCTGAACTCTGAGCCATGACAAATACTAATTGTTGAATAAATGAACATGCAAGAACAACTAAACTAAAACCATTATTATGATGAAATGGAGTGAATTCAGAATTCTGATCTGTACAATTGGGCAGTTTAGTGTGTCCCTCTACTGAGGAGAGTTTTGCCTTTTATTATCTGGTTGTTGGTGAGTTGGTTAGATGTACCTTAAAGCTGTTTGACTGCATAGGGCATTGCATCCCTGACTGATCCTGTACTTCCCACATATACAGCAGGATAGTGATCAGAAGTAAGAGACCTAATTATTTCATACCCCTTATCGAGTAATTCTGTCTTTCCTGTAGCCCTTGAATTGGCTGAATTCAGCTAATTTGTCACCCAATAAGATGCAATCTTTCTGTTCACAATGGTTCTCTTCTGTATGGCCTGACTAGTTGCATTGTAGTTAGGCTGTACAGAACTGAACCTATCTGTTGTTGAAGCCCTTGATGTCCTGATTGCTTTTATGATTGGACTACCCCATGCATTTCTGAAAAGCTTTCTACCTTCCACTTCTCATAAAATGAAGCTCATCTAAAACTCTGCTGCTGTTATTTTAACTCCCACCAAGCCTTGTTTATTCATCCACAGTCCGTCCCCATGCTTACTGACTCCTGGTCCAGCAATGCTTCACATTTAAAGCTTTCATCCTTGTTTTCAAATTCTTCCATGGCTTGAGAGTAAGCCAGAAAGAAAATTTACAATATTGCAGAGACTTGCTTATGAAGTGATGTTGTCGTAATGTCACTGGTCGAGTAATCTAGAAACCCAGGCAGGTCCTCTGGGGATGTTAATTCACATCTCATGTGGCAGCCAGCAGAATTTAAAATTCTATTCATAAATTCTGAATCAACAATTTGAATATTTAATGTGACCGTGAAATTATGTTTTTAAAATACATCTAGTTCACTAATGCCCTTTAGGGTAGGAAATCTGCAATCTTTATCCAATCTGACCTACATATGACTCCAGAACCACGGCAGTGGAGTTGACTCTTGACGCCTGTAACAGTGTGAAATGGCAACAAATATTTGCTTTGCCAGGGATGCAGACATCCAGTGAAAGAAATTAAGTGCAATATTCTCCTATTTATTATCCTTTGTACTAGACCTGACAAAGTGTCCAATCAAATGGAGTTGTGTGGCCCACAACCATGTTTCAGTACTCCCCAAATGACATTCTCAGGGGGCACGAAACTTGATCTGGTTCTCCTGAGAATTGCCAATTGTGGCTGATTCTATTCCTGGATGTTCCACCGCATGACCTAGCACCCTCTGACCTCCTGCCCTCATGCTCCCTCCTATCCTCACTGGCCGCCCAACATGTCCATTCTCAGGACGCAGCACCTTCCCAGCCAATTGGAAAGCCAGAAATTTTTGCTTGATTGGTTCATACTTAACTTTCAGTCAAAATGCACTTCTCTTTCCCAACCCCCAATGTTTTTATAACCGACAAACAAAAGTGTTGTAATCAAATTATTATTTTTGGTGTGGCACCTACCCACCTCTTTATTCTATACCTCCTGGCTTGCAGTACTCTCCTGAAGGTTAATTTCATATTGCTGGACAGAATTGGCATCCTTCAGGGTTAGTGACCTGTATTCTCATCTAGCATCTACACATAGTCATTTTTCAGCCAGACTCGCAATGCCATTCTGGCTGAATGGTCCCTACCTTCCCAGTCTATTGATGTAGTAATGTCACTGATCCATGTGGTTTGTGTGTTTACTCCTTAAGCTTTTTGGCAACACATTCCTTGTGAGTAACTTCAGATCCTGTTTATAATATTTTTCACAACTTGCCTTACAATGTACATAGATATTTCTTCTGGACTGAGGCACAGTTAATCTAGAGACTGTCCTGGGTGGATTTCTTGAGGATCTGGTTTGCATCTTCACAGGTTAGCCATGTCTCTGTGCTGTGGACATTTCCAAGCAGATTCCCAGCAGTGTATCGCAATCCAGTATAATTCACCAGACTGTGGGAGTGTATTGTTATTTGACAGGGGACCTCACCACTGCTCATCATCTTATAATGTTGTATGCCAGCATTGCTAACATATTATGGGTAAATTCTCTGCCACCAGTCCGTTTTACTGATTTTTGTCGAGCTACTGATGCTTTGTGGGAAAGAATGCCCACACAATACCTTAGGCAGAATATAGGCTTTGTCTTGGGCAAACTGTAAAGTTTATTACATATTGCCTAGTGGCTATTTACATTACATCAGAGATGTGCACAGCAGAGTCACCTGGTATGTGGAGAACTGATACAGCACTCTGAAGAATTAGAGAACTGGTTAGCTCCTCCCCGGAAGAGTCCTTTATATCCTTGAGCTTATGCAAGATATAATTAACCTTTTCAGATCCTAATTGCCTTTTATAGAACATATCTCTCCACACAGTACCAGTGTACCTCTCCACTCTTTACCAGTGTATTATACCACACAGTGCCAGTGTGTTACACCATATTTTACCACTATATCACTTGGGCTGTCCCACCATAGCTCACCAGCCTATGCCGCTATATCTCACTGCTCTGTTTCCATGTTCTTCATTGCGCTGTGTCTGTGCACCTCCTTGCTCAGTGACAGTATATCTCGCCCTGTCTTACAACTATATATGCTTCTTGCTTTATTGCAGACTGACAGAGGGTTCTTAGGTAGAAACTCCTCAAACTCACTGAACAGAGATATCCATCTACAGACTAGTGATAACTATGATAAGGTAAGGACCTTGGGATGTGGGTGACATTGACAAGTCTGTATTGATTATTTGTCACCAGTTTACCTGAGGAAGTGGATCTGTTTCTTCATGAAACACTGTACTCCATGTGTTGCACGGGCGGAGATGGTGTTATAGTGACAGTATCGATGGACTGGAGCTCTAGAGACTCATAGCTAACACTTTGGGACACTGGTTCAAATCCCATGATCGCAACTCAAATATTTTAAATCCTGTCAGTAAATCTGAAATATAAAGCCAGTCTCAGTAATGGTGACCGTGACAACTGTCACCAGTTGTAAGAAGGTTCATTAATGTCTCTTTAGGCAAGGCAATCTGCCATCCTTACCCGGTTTGACCTACATCAGACTCCAGACCCACAACAATGTGGTTGATTTTGAATTGCACTCTGATATGGCCGAGCAAGCCACTCAGATTAAGTTCAGATAGGGATGCACAACAAATGCTGGCCTTGCCAGTGATGCGCACATCCCATTGTAGCAATAAAATGTTGCACTAGCAGTGATGTTTGAAGGGCCAATGGTGTTGGGGCTATTGTATTAGCATGGATAGAGGATTGGCTAACAAATAGAAGACAGAGTTTGAATAAGGGGGTATTTTCAGGATTGTAACCTGTGTGCCACTAGGATCAGTGCTGGGGTCACAATTATTGATCATATATTAATGACTTGGAAGAGGAAAGTGTACAGATTTGCAGATGTCACAAAAATAGATGCAAAGGGAAGTTTGAGGATAACACAAAGAGTCTGCAGAGGTATATGGACAGGCTAAATAAGCAGATAAGAATTTGGCAGATGGAATATAATGTAGAAAATTTGAAGTTATGCATTTTGGAAGCATGGAGGAGCTGAATCGTATTTAAATGGTGAAAGACTGCAGAAAGCTAAAGCACAGTGGGATTTGAGAGTCCTTAATCATGAATCACAAAAAGCCAGACCCAGGTTTAGCAGGTAATAGGGAAAGCAAATGGAGTGTTGAACTTTGTTTCAAAGGGAATAGAGTATAAAACAAGGGATGCCTTGCTAAAATTATTCAAGGCACTAGTCAGATTGCAGCAAGAATACTATGAATAGTTTTGGTCCCATTATCTAAGGAAAGATGTACTGACATTGAGGCAGTCCAGAGAAGGCGTGCTAGTTTGATTCCAGGTATGGAGAATATGTTTTTAGAAGAGGTTGGGTAGATCAGGTCTGTACTCAATGGAGTTTATAATAATGAGGTGACCATATTGAAACATACAAGAAAGACCAGAGGGCATAATCTTGGAATAAGGGGTCACCCACTGATGACAGAGACAAGGCATTTCTGCTGTCAGAGAGTAGTGAATCTGTTGGGGACCGCTTTGCAGAACACCTACGCTCGGTTCGCACTAAACAACTGCACTTCCCAGTCGCGAACCATTTCAACTCCCCCTCCCATTCCGCAGACGACATGTCCATCCTGGGCCTCCTGCAGTGCCACAACGATGTTACCCGAAGGTTGCAGGAACAGCAACTCATATTCCGCTTGGGAACCCTGCAGCCCAATGGTATCAATGTGGACTTCACAAGCTTCAAAATCTCCCCTCCCCCTACCGCATCCCAAAACCAGTCCAGCTCGTCCCTGCCTCCCTAACCTGTCCTTCCTCCCACCTGTCCTCTCCTCCCACCTCTAGCCCCACCCCCATCTCCTACCTACTAACCTCATCCCGCCCCCTTGACCTGTCCATCCTCCCTGCACTGACCTATCTTCTCCCTACCTCCCTACCTACACTCACCTTTACCGGCTCCATCCCCGCCTCTTTGACCGGTCTGTCTCCTCTCCACCTATCTTCTCCTCTATCCATCTTCTATCTGCCTCCCCCTCTCTCCCTATTTATTTCAGAACCCCCTTCCCCTCCCCCATTTCTGAAGAAGGGTCTAGGCCCAAAACGTCAGCCTTCCTGCTCCTCTGATGCTGCTTGGCCTGCTGTGTTCATCCAGCTCTACACCTTGTTATATCAGTGAATCTGTGGAATTCTTTACAGCAGAGAGCTTTAGAGACTGGGTCATTAAATATATTCAAGACTATAAAACGATAAAATATAGAAAGAGGAATAGGCCCTTTTGCCCCTCAATACTGCTCTCCCATTCAAAAAGATCATGGCTGATCTGATATTCCTTACATCCACTTTCCTGCCATTTGCCCATAACCTTTGATTCCCTGACTGATCAAGAATCTATCTCAGCTTTAAATACACACAAGGACTTTGCCCCAACAGCTCTCTCTGACAAGGAGTTCCAAAGACTCATTTCCCTCTAAGAGAAGAAATTCCTCCTCATCTCAGTCTTAAATTGGTGCCCCTTTATTCTGAGACAATGCTACCTGGTCCTAGACCTTCTCAACGGGAAACATCCTGTAGTGATTATAATGAGGTCAGCCAAGTGGACCTCATAGAATATGAATTCCCTGATTGGGAGTACTAATCTGGACCAATCAGGCAGCCCTGGCTGTCAGGTAAAAACAGGAATGTCAGACATCGTGTCACTGTGAGAGCTGGCTCTGAGGGAGCTGGATCAGTGTGACAGACTTTCCACGTGTAAATAAAGGGTGACTTGGTGATGGGATACTGGCCTCTGTGGAGTTATTTCAGTGGAACAAGAGTGGGATTAATGATGTAACCATGCAAAAGTGCCTATTGGTTGAAGCCCAACTGGACTTTGAACAGGCACCACAACTGGCTTTATCATTGGAAAATGCGGCAAGTGGAGCATATGAGTTGCAGGGTGTTCTGATGGAAGTTGACATCCTTGCCAGTCTGACTGAGCTTGGGGATCACCATTTGAGTGAAAGCAATTGCATAGCCTCACTCAAGACATATCCTGAACAGAGGGACTCTACGTCAGCCCACAGCAAAACCCCAAAACAAAGCCAAGCCTTGCCCAAACAGGTAAAATTTTCTTCAGGATCCGGGCTGGCAAGCCATTGTAGTTGATATGCATTGCTAAAGGGATTGAGATTAAAAGCAGAGAGGTTACGTTGCAGCTGTACAAGGTGCTGGTGAGGCCACACCTGGAGTACTGTGTGCAGCTTTGGTCTCCTTACTTGAGAAAGGATGTACTGGCACTGGAGGAGGTACAAAGGAGGTTCACTAGGTTGATTCCGGAGTTGAGGGGGTTGGCTTATGAGAAGAGACTGAGTAGATTGGGATTATATTCATTGGAATTCAGAAGATTGAGGGGGAATCTTATAGAAACATATAAAATTATGAAGGGAATAGATAAGATAGAAGTAGAGAGGATGTTTCCACTGGCAGGTGAAGCTAGGACAAGAGGGCATAGCCTCAAGATTAGAGGGAGCAGATTTAGGACTGAATTGAGAAAGAACTTCTTCACCCAGAGAGCTGTTAATCTATGGAATTCCTTGCCCAGTGAAGTAGTTGACGCTACTTCAGTAAACGTTTTTAAAGATAAGGTAGATTTTTTTTGAACAATAAAGGAATTAAGGGATACGGTGAGAACGCGGGTAAGTGGATCTGAGTCCACGAATAGATCAGCCATGATCTTATTGAATGGCGGAGTAGGCTCGAAGGGCCGGACGGCCTACTCCTGCTCCTAGTTCTTATGTTCTTATGACCCCAGACAGCAAAAGAGTGTCACTAGGCCTAAGTGGAGAAAGAGAACTCATAGACCAGTATCCAGGAGAGTGTACGCCTGAGAAAGTCCACCTACATCTGGTTTGGAACAGTTAAATTGCTTAGCGACCTCCAAATCAGAACCAATCAAAATAAACATGTGGTTAAATGGTCACCCTGATCTAATGGAGGTGAATACCAGTGCGGCTGTTTCGGTGTTTGCAGAACCAGTCTTTAATAAAATTTTGTCTGGACTCCAGTCCTTAAGTTTGCGCAAGATCTTGGCTATGCTGAGAACCTATACTGAGGAACCTTTACAGATTGAGGGTGCAACTTTGGTTCTGGTCTCTTATGAGAAGCAGCTGGTTCACGTACCAATGATTGTAATAACAGACTTGGGCCCATGCTTAAAGGGGCCAAATTGGTTGAGAAAGATTGACCTAGATTGGCCTAACATTTTTCGATTAGATACGCAAAGTTGGCAGAGAACTGTCCTTCACGAAGTTGGACATGAGCCTTGTGTACTTGTAATTGTGGTTAGATAAGGATTCCCAGAAGTATACTACAATTAATACCCATAAGTGTTTGTTCCAATATATGAGATTGCCATTTGGGCTATGTCAGCCTGTGCAACTTTTCAGTGAATGATGGAGAACATTTTACACGGTCTACTCCAGGTCGCCATTTATCTAGATGACATGCTAAAAACAGGGATGAGCAATAAGGAGTACTTAGACAACTTGGATATAATCTGTAGACGTTTCCTCCAGGCAGCATATGCCTTAGAAGGGAAAAATGTGGTGTGTTCTAGGTAGCCCAAGTGAGGGCGATCAAAGGTGCCCCAGCTCCCATGTCTGTACTGGGGCTTAGGTCTTGCCTTGGGCTGGTGAATTATAATGGAAAGTTCATGCATAACCTGGCCTCCATGCTGGCACCTTTGCATTAACTCTTAAAAAAGAGTGAGCCTTAGAAATGTCATGTAGCCAAGCCATAGCTTTCAGACATGTGAAGAACCAGCTATTGTCCTCTATGACACACTATGATCCCAAGCAAGATCTGGTATTGACATGCGATGCCTCCCTGTACAGCTTGGTGTAGTATTATTTTATAGGTGGTCCAATGGAGAGGAACACCCAATAGTATATGCGTCCAGGACTTTGGGTAATGCAGAGCGTAAATACTCCCAGATAGAGAAGGAAGGTTTGGCAGTCATATTTAGAGTCAGGAAGTTCTACCAATATCTTTACAGATGTAAATTTCTAATAATAACGGACCACAAAACCATGCTAGGCCTCCTTAGAGAGGACAAGGCAGTGCTGCCCATAGCTTCAGCCCAAATTCAACGATGGGCTCGAATACTTAAATGTGTATGATTACACATTGGAACACC